GCCCTTCAACTTTTATAACTAACAATTAAACCCCGACCATATATAAAATGATAAAATGTACAGCTTTATGACAAAATTGATTAAAATTGTCGGAAAATTTAATTCATTTGGTGGCCGATGGGATTTCTCCGTACTAATATATCTCTTAATGTTAAAAAAAAAAAAATTGAAGTATGATGTATAACGTAAACTTTTTATGTATGGTAATAAAATTTATGGGTACTTTTCAGTTTATAAAATTTAGTGGTGCAAAAACTATAAAAATATTGGCTTACATGTTCGGTCGTGCCGATCTCAAGAACTCCTCCAAGAAACGGGAAGCAAACCACTGTTTGAAGCGAAGCACTCTTAAAATAGCAAAAAACACCACACGAGAAAGAGCGTTTTAGGTTATAACGTTAGCGTTTACAATCGCGAAATTTATGCAAAAACTTACTTTAGCGAGAAGAGAACGAGTGAAGACTTTACTATCGGCGGTTTGAGCGTTACAAAGCCACACCGGTTCTCCGTTTGCTAACACTCCTCCGGGGATTCTACAGTAAAAAGACAGAAATATCCTTTATGTTTTATCCCTAGTCTTAATCGTGAAATAAAAATGCTAATGTTTTTCTCCTACTTCCTTTCAAAATTGTAAATGCCAAACGTAAAATGTGAATGAACATAAAATTATTTGTGATCGATGTGCTTTCGCGTTTACATTATAATTTTTTTTTGCTAAATATTTACATTATAAATTTTAAAATACTAGAAAGTTTACATTACTTTTGAAGCAAACCATTAAAATTTAAACTAACAATAAAAACGAGATATTTGAATTTGTCACACAGTTAAACTTGTACACGTATGTCGGTATAAGCTCCCATGGAAAACGAGGATGGAAGAGACAAGATTAAAAAACCCAAAAAATTAATACATTTGTCTTTTCATGATGCAAAAATTCAATACTCGTATTTATTTTTCCAAAATTTACATTTAAAAACTATTAATTCTGTTTTTTCAATTAATTTTATACGTAGAGATAAATTATATTTTTGTATATAAAATTACAATAAATTGGTAAACTGATATTTTTCATTAATTATTTCCAAAATACAGTTTTGTGTAATAAAAGGGTGTATATATTTAAGACAAATAGTTGTGAAAAGACGATATTACCCTTCACCGATGTCGAAGACGAATGACATGCAGACTAAGTAATACCACTCGGTGTCGGTGAGGTCCTCCGGGGAGAGAGCGGCGGAGGAAGCTCGTCTACTGACCTGAGAGCCACCGGAAGTTGAAGATTCAGCGACGGATAGAGATTCATAAAGCTCTCTAAGTTGTTCGCTTCTCTCAAGACCTAACTTATCGGTTTTGACTTCAGCTGCTTGAATCGTCTTCCTTGTCTTAATGTCTCCATTGTAGTATCCATCTCCCCACTCCAACACTCTTTATTTTTATTTTACAAAGGAAAAAAAAAATACACTGATTAGTCGAGAAAACAAGACAAAAATCGAAATTTTGAATTAGGCCTCGAAATTTTATCTGAATTCTTGATATTAAAGAAAATATCTAGGAAAGTTCAAACCAACTCCATTTAGCGAATTGAAATAGTGTAATGTTTTATACTCATTTAACAAATCAGTGAGTTGGCTAATAGACGGCTATTGAAAAGATTAAAGAAAATGTTTAAAACCAAAAAAAAAACATTGAATCAAATTTGAAGAACCATCCGTAGTAATTTAACTAGCTGACCACACAAATGAGAAAGTCTAATGGAACTTGATGTGAGCCCATATGATTTATCCGAGTTTTGGATTCGGATCAACAATGTGTTAACAATTTGATTCTGCTCAAGTTTCCAAGGAGATCTCTTATGGACAAGAGCCAAGAAAAAGTTTATTTTCAGACAAAAAGCTAACTTTAAGGGAAAAAAAAGATTTAGAAGATGTACCCTGGTTGAGAAGCAGAGACAGACCAAAAAATTCCATAACTCCATTGAATGTTTCTAACTGAAACTGCGAGTTGTTTCTTTAGATTCTCTGGCGGTACCGTTCTGTTTTCTCCTGCATCCATTGTTTCTGCATCTCTATACATGTATGCATCCACAATGAAAAAAAAAAAAAAAATCAGACTTTTATATGTCGAAAACAAAATTTTGTCTTTGAAAAAAATCAGAAGACAGACAAAAAAAGCAGAGGGGGATATAAAGCCGGTATTGATTTTTACATGACATTGGTTTAGTTTGGGAAGGAAGAAGACAGCAAAACCTATATTAAATATTTTAACCTTCTATATATGGGAAAAAATATTAAGAACAATATTTTTTTGAAGTTAATATTGTTGTGGTTAAATTGAGCTTTGAGTCGAGAGAAAAGGACAGTGTCCGAATATCTTTATGGATATTTAGGTATGTGTACACTGTATATTATCACAGAACACTGAAAATTACAAGGAATTTTTTTTTAAAAAAAGAGTCGTAAAATTACAAAAGTAGTATGCACCTACCCTTTGGTTGAATATTGTGGTCCAAGCACTACTCTTATTTTGGAATTTTTATTGCTTGTCAAAGGAAATTAAGTAATTCTTTCTCTGTGTACTATGTGATTTATTTCTTATGAAATGATAAATCTATATTAGTATATTTCCACATCAGAAGTAAAAAGAAACTTTACATAGTACTAGGGTAGTATCTCTACTCACTATGTTCTAAATTGATTGTAAATTTATTAAACTCAACATGGTATTAGAACAATATTCATCAATACAATGATTCGACTTTTTCTCCCACAAAAAAAAAAAAAACAGCTGGTATTGGTTTCTTAGCAACAAGGAATGTTTGGTGATGGAAATTACGTACACATCACAAAAATAAAAGATACATATACACAAAAATATAAATTCTGGAAGATTTTCTTATTTTGATGATAGAATTGATTCTAATGTGAAACACGAAGAAGGATATGAATTCAATGTTATGCCTCGAGGAGCTCCCCGCGAAACAAACAGACAAACTTTGCATTTCTTAATTAATTTATGTTGTTGGAATCATTTCTACATTATCTTCGAATCCTAAGAAGTATAACGTTTAATCACCTTTTATTTAATCGCAAATCGTTAATTTCTTGTATATAAAATATGCGTACGAGCCAGTCACCTATATGTATATATATATTTGAAGTCAAATACAGAAACTTGGATCAATATTAATGGTGGGGGATCTATTACTAGGAATAGATAAAAAGAATCAAATGAAGGCAAGTGATTGTATGTTTGAATGAGATTTTTGATGAGATATTTAATATAGAAAAACCTAGAGTTATTTATTAACATAAGCTATGCGTTTTAAATAAAATCTTCGCATATCCCAAAATTATCATCGCATCTCCCAAAATTATCACCCCTAACTAGGACTACTTGTCGTCTATGAAAGTTGAAAAAACAAAAAGCGTGAGGCTTTGTTTACATTATTTACCTACTAATCGTATGCTTATAAGCTCAAATACTTTATCTTTGTTTCTGAAACTAGCATTTAAAAAAAAAAAAATCGAGAGAGAGAAAGAGAGAATTTTTTTTTGTCCTTTCTCTCATCAAGGCGTTGCCTTAGCCGCCGTCTCACCATTTCCGTGCTTGCCTCTCCGGCGTTCAGCTATCGCCGGCATTGCGAGAGGGCTTACTTCCACCCATTTGCGGCCCACGATGCTTCAATCGTGGAGAAGACCCTTTTCCAATATGCTTTTTGTGGCTTGTCTCACTTTCCGGCGGCGCGTGGAGGTTGGGTTCGGTTTTTGATACGAAATAAAGTTTTATCCTATGTAAAACAACATAGGCTGCAAGTGCACAACCAAAAAAGCGTACTAGTTAGTGATGGAATACACAGAGAATTAGAACACTCAATAGCAATGTGAACTAAGAATTACGCTAAGCCAGGCAAGTGGTTATGAGAGTGATCAAACGGTAATTGAAATCAGTTTTAAAACAATAATAAAGAAACGTTGGGATTTTCGGAGATTCTTAGGGTTTCATAGTCCAAATTATTCAGGTAATTCTTAGGGACAATTGATTCGGTTTTCCTCCTAGAACATGAACACATATTAAGCTAGTCAGGTTCTCGCGATTCTAGCTTCTTAAAAAAGTTTGCTACAAATTTGTTTTGTTAAA